GCCTGAATATATTTGCCTGATGTGCTGGTTTTCTGTCTGCAGGGACTTTGAAACAGGAGGATTTTACAGCTGATGTGTGAAATAACACAGTGCACTCTATCACCTCAGCATCGCATTGCTTCGTTCTGTTGCATGGGTAGACCAGGCCAGAGTAACACAAGTGCTACAGGGTGGAATGTGGGTTGCACGGTTGTAAGTGTGGGATGAACTGCTTAATGCAAAGCCAAGAGTTATGCAGTTAATTCCACATGTGGGGCAATAAAATCATTACCCTCTTAAAGTCTTACACTCCATTGCCTTTTGTGGTAAAGCCACGTATTTGTGTTAGTTTACAAGGAGGTGTCCCCTCTTGAATCTTGCCCGCCTCTACTTTTTTTTTTCCATTTGAAGCATTTACAAAGCAATTACAGTAAAGCTCTCGGTGACTGTTGTATCTGAAGAATGATCCATTTTATGCTTTAGAACTGGGTCTACCTGGAAGCTTAGAAAGGGTCGGGAAAACCTTTTATCTGTAATCCAGCAAGGCCAATTTGTTCTTCATGGGTAATTCTTTAGAAGTGGTTAGAGATGGATGGGTGCTCAGGAGTTAGTCTGGCATGGTGGGTAAATAAAAGCAGTGAGAGAAATCATATTGCCCAGTGGACAGAGTTTGGGACTTGGGCATAAGGACACCTGGTTGGAAATCCATTGCAATCATGAACTCATGTGCTGGCACTCAGAGCCATATGGGTGGGTTTGCACAACCGAGTGAGTCAGCCTGCAGATAAGCCATAGTGGGCTGGTTGTTCACACAGCAACCCAAGGTTTGCCTAACCTTTGGTCACCATGGGCTCATAGGGGTCTCCATCTTTCCCCCGTCTTTCCTCCAGCCTGAATCCAAGTCTCCTGTACTGAAGAATCTGCAAAATTGTGCCTTCCCCTCTGTTTGTTACTCCTTTTTGATTATTGCTCCCCACTTTTTCCACAGCTTCAGAATTACACAGTTGGGGTTATTGGGGGGTTTTTTCCAGAAGCCTTTTTCAGACCCAGAAATGTGCAGTCAATTTCTCCTCCTCCTTTCTCCATCTTGTAGAGGTGCACAAGAACGTGTTTATGGCTGTGCTTTTAAAAAATCAGCCCTGCTACATTTGCACTGTTCTTGCCCTGGAAAATATATGTGAATTTCATGGCTGGGAAGTAAATGTGGGGTGGTTGTGTATGTTTGGGAAGGAAATGGAGGGAAAATATGCCCAGGTTTCATTGATGGGAAATAAATGGGGTGGGGGGTGGTGGGATGTGAATTGTATAGGAAAAACCAGCACAGTAGTATTGTTAGATGTTATAGGAAGAAGTGGACAAAGAAACGAGAGTGGTAGCAACTCTGTGTCTCCCACAATATTTAGTTCCATCTTCAAGTTTCCTTTTGTAAAAGTGGGAGCAAGAGATCTATCTCTGTGTGAGATCAAGCAAAATAGAGCTAATAAAACACACCACTAAAATTGTTGTCTATGTCATTATTATTACATTAATCACAGTTAACATCAACATTAAACTATAAAACTCACCCTTTGCTGCTCGAGTGACTCACCTGGAGTGATGTACACAAGCATAACTTTGCGATTGCCAAGCAGATACAAGGTGTAAAACTGTGCTGGACCATTTTCTTGATGGGTGTAGCACAGCTTAAGTCCAGAACATGAGATTAGCACTATTCAAGCATCATTCGACAGGACATATCACAGTTTTTAGAAACAGTGCAGTGTGAACATTGTATGCTCACAGAAACCCTGTGGAGGCAGTTGGAGTGGCCGAGGGACATGACTACCATGCAGAGATTTGAACTGGATTGGTCTTAGATAGTTATTTTTACTAGAATTCATATGGTCTACTGCTTGTTCTTAGAGTGCATACTTGAGATCAGCCAGCACTGATTAAGCTTTAACAATTAAGTTATCCAGAGTATGCACTTTTATTTAAAATGGGTAGGCTACATGGAGCCTTCCAGATATTTCAAAGACAACCCTTTGTTGTCCTTCTGAAAGAAAGGGTGGCGTGTACTCTTAGCTGTGGCAACATGGCTGTGGTTGGAGATTGTCCCTGGGGAAGAGAAGAGGAATTCCTCTGTCAAGCAGGAACCATTGTTAGTTTCTGTGATTAGTAACTCATCAGTGCAATTGCATTTATTTATTTCAGACTTAGTGGCTATGCTGATAGTTGAACTATTCACTTTCACAGGTGCTTTTGAAATGCCTGAGATACACCTCTAATCTGAAGGTTATGCCTCTTTAGGACCCTGGTAGTGTTTGCTTCTAGGTCACAGGAACTTGTGAGTGGAATATGATACAGAGGCCTATAGATATTCTGGTCTTGAAAAGTGACTCTTTCTCCTCTCTTTTTTCTCTTTCTTTCCCCTTCCCTTGTGTGACTTGCCATGTCAGTTTGTAACTCTGAGAGCAGCCCTCCCACCACTTTTAAGTGATGGAAGCCACTTGGGATATAATAATTGTCTGAAACAGAGACTAAAAGGCAGCAAATAATATCCCTCGACTTCAGTTCTCATGCCCCCCCTCCCCCGACAAAACTCTGTTAATGCATCTCTACCTTCAAGCCAAGCCATATTAGCAGGACAAACACATTGCCTACTTCTTGCTAGCCTGGACCACTTCAGATCGCACAGGTGGGAGGTGGAATACTTCTGCTATTAAAATGACTTGGTGGCATACGCAGATAACTAGCCTATCAGGGACAAGGAGCTTAATACGGCATTCTTCCATATAGTTAGGTTTATGTATTATTTAAAGATGCGTTGCTGTTGTAGTTGTTGCTGCTGTTGTTTGGGGTGGGTTGTTTTGTTTTAAATGCAAGCATTCAAACCTGCAGTCTAGTGCTAGCGGACTTTACTGGTATATTCCAGAAGGAACCTGTGCCACAAATTTCTTCTAATTGCATACAGTGGCTCTACCCTGAGTATTCCAGGCACAGACAGTGAGTCTGATTCTACCACCACAACAACTTGCGTTGCCATTTGCATAGATAAAATTTGTCATTATTTGTTTTTCGGCGCCAGGCTAAGACCTTTCTATTTAAAACTTATTTTAATTGTTAAATTATTGTATTTATTAGGATTTTAAATTAGCCGAGAATGCACCGGGGGGGGGGGAAAATGTTTTTTTTTTTTTTAATATATATTTTTTGTGAGCCGCCCCGAGGCTTTGTTGCGATGGGGGCGGCATAGAAATGCTTTAAATAAATAAATAAATAAATAAATAAAATCTTTTCCTGGACTGTCCAACAGTCATCTGACAGCTTGCTCGCAAATTTCAAAAATGTTTACTTGTGTTATTGTTTTATCCATGTATTTGGTATTAATGGTTTTTAAAGTTGATTTCGAAAGCAAGATTGCCCCCTCTTTTCATTACTGTTCTAATTTAATCAAGCCTAGAAGAGTATGTTTGCCTTGAATCCCAGCTGTAGTTTACAACCATATGTCTGGAAGCGGGCAGGCAGTATTTGTGACAAGCTGGGATCCTCGCTCGTGGCAGGACTGCCGGTTAGAAATGTCAGGGTCACACAACTTAAGCCTCCTACTAAAGACTTCTTCCAGGAGTTCAGGATGGGAAGGCAGAAGTATGGCCAACTATTCTGCAGGAGGGCCATCCTCCACTTTCTTTCCCATCCTAATGCCCTGACTTCCTTTCCCCAGCACATGCTCCTCATTTCTGTGTTTTTGTTGTGGGAATTTCCAGCAGGATAGCCATGCTAGTTTATAGCAGTAACATTCTTACAGTACCTTAAAGACTAACATGTTTATGCCATAATAAAGCGGTTGGTCTCTAAGGTGCCATGAGGTTCTTTGTTGTGTTTCTCGAGGAAAAGTTTGACTAACTAGATTGTGACAAACAAACATGATATGCACATGTGGAATTAACAAGAAGGAAAAGCTTAATAATTTTGCACTGGAGATCACTTAAAGGCAAAGCTTGAGAAATCTTTCCAGTCAGTCAGTCAGTCCTCCCAAGTATCACCAAGCCTGCAATTGATCTTCAAGTGATAGGCCAGACTCCAGGGTGAGATGGCCAGCTGCAAGGGTGCTTCATTTGTATGATGTCAAAATTTGTTTTTGTTTGTCTGAACTGATTTACCTGGCTTCTGGAATGTGGAGACAACTGACTTGAATTGCTCCAGGAAGAGTGCTACATGTATAATAAAAATCTTGGTTCATATTTTACCAGATGGCCAAGGAGATTCTCTGGTCAAGTGCTGTAATGCATCAGGTTTTTTATAATTGGCATGAGGAGGAACAGACTGCAATCACGCAAAAGACAAACCCATAAATAGATAACAAAATTCTATAAACCGAATGCAAACCCTTTGAACCCTAAGCCACAGTTGGTTACAAATACAGTGCTGCAGGTAACGGGAGAGTAGCTATTGCTTTTGCAGTGTTTTGGTCTCCTGTTGCTGGACTCTGCAACATCTTAAGTGCTTAATGGTTGCTCTGTCTTTCCCTCTTGACTCTGCTGGTCTCCCTGAAATTCATTTTCAGTGGCTCTCAGTTGATGTTGCCTTTTTTTTTTTCTCTGGACTGGCTGGCTGGCTGAGAAATGCTGGGAATTGTAGGATATTTTTTGTGTAAATATGCATAGGATCATGCCTTCAGACTTGCTTCTTGTGTGCTCAGGGCTTGTTTAGTTCCTCTTTTTTGCTTTTTCAAGTTCATCATTCATGCTTTGGTCTTGTCTAATCTTTAGTGATTAAAGCAATGGCACACTCAGAGATTTCCCAATATTAAAATTATTATTATTATTAATGATCCATCTAAAAACTAGGCGCAGTACCAGACCTTAAAAAGACAACTCCTGCTCTATGGGTTCATTATCTGCTTAGACAACAAAGAACAAAGTACCAAATCAAATGAAATTCATCTGGAGGAGAAAAAACCCCAAACAATTAGATGTATGTGGAATAGAAAAGTCTTGAAAAACAAGGATATTGGCTAAGAATTCAGTGAATATTGGCTAATGAAGAATTCCACTGAGAAGGTGCACTATGAGGAAAAGAAATACACAACAGAAGGGGAAAGTGGTGGGTTACAAGCAATGAAGCACTTGTCCCCTGGTCTCTGGCAAGGGGGCTGGCTGGAGGAGGTGCTGGTCCTCCAGCCAGTACTTTGGTTGGGGCTTGCCCCTTGCCCCGAGACACAGGTGGGAATCAACCTCCCCCCCATCATAATTCCCCGTTTCAGATTACAAGTTTTGAGGGAGAAACATAGGTCTAAGAGACACGATGCAAGCAGGCAGCAGAGGCCACTGTTATTTTAAAGGCAAAAAGAAAAGGCTTTAAAGAGATAATATTCCTACAGCTTGATTTTATATTTATTCCTTTATACAAGCCAGTTACTGTCATTTGGAAAACTTTTGTTGAAAAGCAAACCTAGTTTTCTTCTTCCATTGGCTTTATTATCTAGAATATGTTCACACTTTGTTGCAGAAAAAAAAATGTTTCGAGTAATATTGGGATTAGGAAAAGCTGCATGTGCTTCATTCATTTGTTATCCAGAAAGTGGAATGGCCATTAATCATTCACTCTTGGGGCTTTTCAATATCTTCTAGAAGCTAGATTGCCAGGAAGTAAAGCCTATTTACTTGGTCCATGTTTTCTGTTGTTTTTATGTAAAATGTGAATCTTGGATAAATAAAAAGGATTTCTGTTCCCCTCAAGGAAGTTGGATTGCTCTTTCTTGCAGGGGAGTGAAGCTCTGGCTTATATCAGTCAGAAAACAAATTGTCTTCCTTTTCCCACACCCTTTCCACAGGGTTAAAGGTTTCAGATTTGTTGACTGTCCTTGACCCTCTTCTGATTATATTCCAAAATCTGGTTAGATCCAGTTACCTTTTATCCTTCTTCTCCGGCTTGTGGAAATAGCACTTCAAGGGACAGACAGTGGAATTTTTCCCAGCAGCATGGAATGTTGTTGTCCTTAGCTTCCCAAATTTGGAATCACAAAGCAGAGACAGATGCAATATCAAGGCTGGATACTTTTAAGGATTAGATTTACCTTTTCCTTATGCATTTGAAAAATAGAGCTCAAGAAGGGTTGTTCTACAATAAATGTATTAGTCCTTAATGTGCTAAGGGACTTCTTGCTGTTCAAGGACTAATTGTAGATGGCCCTGTTGATTTTGCTCCTGATTACAGCTGATGACCCTGTTGAATTTTCATTTTTGGTTCCTATCCCTGTGCTGCCCCCACGTGGTCCCAGATAAACACTGCCAACTGGATTTTATTTTTTGCTCTTTTGCCAGGAGTATTTCAGCAAATTCCTAGGATCCTCCTGATCATGCCTTTCCTTTCATTCTTATTTAGTGAGAGTTTGCTGTTGGCTCCTCCAAGTAATTCTGGACCTCAAGACCTGATTTCTCACTGGAGCAAACTGTGAATCAGTTTTTTTGTTTGTTTTACTCCATGTCTGCAGGATTTGGGACTCTCCACTTCTCCTGGCTGCTAAGGAGAACAATGGCCAGGCCATCAGGAAATTGACCATGGATGGCTCTTGCGATCTGTATCAAAGAGGTATTTATCCTTGTTGCTTACCATCAAAGAGAGCTGGTGCACAGCTGATGTTCCTTGGACTAGCAAGAACCCTATTAAAATAAATGAGCTGCCTTCCCCTCTCTCTGTTCCAATTCTCTCCAGTGCAGTCCCAGCTTTGCTGTCTAGGCTGGCGCCCTGGGCTCCTTCCAAACACCTCTCATGCAAGATCTGTATTTGTTAGCACTCTTTGTCACAAATGGGCCAAGTGAAGTGTGAAGTGTCACCAATGGGCCAAGTGAAGCTGCCATGTTGGTTTGTGTATCTATTTACATACAAAGGGGGATCTAAATTTAAGGCAAAAGTGGCATATGCAGTGGGGAAACTGAATGTACGTTTTCCCCAACATCTGTGACCTGAGATGCTTTTGTGCAAGCCTAGTGGTACCAGAAATTAACCAGGTTGGAGGAAAGTGTTTGGAATGGAATGTGAGGGAAGGACCAGCTCACTCTATTCAAGTGGCCATTTTGTTATTAAAAAAAGAAAAATGGACAGTTCTTCCACTGACAGCCTTGGATGTGAGTTGGGCAGTCATCAGAATAAGCCAGTGGCTGCCCCCGTTGAATCTACCAGCCCTGCATGCAGCTCATTCAAGCTGGGTGTTGTTTGTCCACATTCTGTGCCTGTAGGAGCTGTCGGGGAGACGGCGCTCCACATAGCTGCCCTCTATAATAGCACTGAGGCTGCTGAAGTCCTTCTGGAGGTGGCTCCAGAACTCATCAATGAGAAGATGACATCTGAACTCTATGAAGGTAATTACTATGAAAAACAAGGGTCTGAAGCAGGAGCAGCTTCCTTTTCATTATTTATAATTTGCAGTTTTGCAATGTACGTATCAGAGGTTAATGATTGCAGTATTTGAAACCTCATTTCCTAATGCAAAATAGACCACAATAGACAAGAAGCATGTATGTCTGTGGAAGCAGATCCTTTTTGCTCTTGGCAACAGCTGATAAATGGTAATCAATTTTAAGCAAGCCCATGAGATTTTTGCCTTATATACTTTAGTTGCACCAAAATAGCAAAATGGGGTTGTTTGCTTTGCTGGTTGAAATCCTTTTAATATTTTCAGCATCTGGTATAAAATATTCTACATATGGACAGACATAGTTTTTCCCCATAGGTCCAAAAGTGGGAGGGTGGGTGGGGATGTCAAGCGGATACAGAAAAATAAATTAAGCTTCTTTCCCCCCCGGGTCCCAAAATGGTCAGTTAAATTGTGGACTGGGGAGATCCCATGTGTTTTGAATACAGCCGGGCAATATCTATCCTGCCACTTAGGTTAATAGCTGAATGGTGAGAAGCTTCATTCGGATCTGGCTTCATTCTTACAAAGCTGGATGTTTAATTTCCATGGCTTCCTCCTGAAGAATACGTGGAATTGTAGTTGGTGACTCCTAGGTTCCCATTAAGGAAAAGAATCTTAAATCACTTTAGTTTAGTGAGGATATACCCTACCTGGCTGCTTAGTGAGGATATACCCAACCTGGCTAAGAGATGCATAAGAATATGATCTGGATGCCAGATGTCTGAGTAATGGTGACCTTAGATGAACCCATGGCTCAAATCAGGTAGGGCATTAGCTACTTCACTGAATCCTGTGATTGGGATTCCGCTCACCCTTTTAAACGCACAGTTGCAGGAATCCCAATTTGGACTGGGACTGTGGGAGAAGAGTTTTTAAGCATTTCCCTCCTACACCATTTTCTGCCGACCCCCCTGCCTGCCCCCAGTCAGGCTCTAGCAAACAGCAGCTTCAGAAGTGGTTTTTAGTGGGAGGATTTTACGTACCTTGATCCTTGGCTTTCATCTCAAGCGCAGTCTTTGTCTAAACTGTTTTTTTGTTTGTTTGTTCTTCTCATTAAAGAAACTTTTCCAGATTGTAAAATATGTTTTTTTTAAAACAAAAAATCCTGGCCATAAATAAATAAATAAATGCTAATAAGCCTCGTAACATTTCACGGTGCAACACACCCAAGGCTTGTGTGCAGAGAATGTCCTCATGTGGGTGTTTAATAGAGGGTCTGTGTGTTGTTGTTGTTTCCTATGACTTGCAGGACAAACCGCTCTCCACATTGCAGCCGTCAATCAAAATGTGAAACTGGTGAGATGCCTGCTCAAGAAAGGGGCCCACATCTCCACTCCCCGAGCTACAGGCCTCTTTTTCAGGCGCACCCCGCAAAGCCTCTTCTACTTCGGTATGCCAGATCCGCAGCTCCAGAGGAGAGGAATTCTTCCAGTGGTTGACGAGATTAAAAGTAGCACAAGGTTTTGGGAGTGTCCCTGGAAGAACCCAGCAGACAGTGGGGTCCCTGCTATCCTTGGTTCCAGTGTCCGTCACCAGAGCAGGCATGCTTCTCTTGAAAACAGATTGCTGCGGGAATCTGGTGCCTTTGCCAGAACCTGCAACCCCACCAAGTCAGGCAGAGTGCTTGTCCTTCATAACTCTGTAACACACCATAGTGCCAAGCCCTGTATGGGGTGACCTTTTCTGCCTGATCGGACACATTTTAGTCATCACGACAGTGATTTTTCTTGGTGGTGTTTCACATGTATGCTTCTTCAGCAGAAGCTTGGACAGACATTTGCTGAGGGGCCAGCAGCTTCTGCCAAGGAAGTGCTCCTGGGAAAGGAAGGGGACCCAGTGCCCTGCCCAGCAGTGGGGAGGGTGGTCGGGGGCTGCTAGTTCATACTTGTGGAGCTTGCTGGAAGCTGTGATCTCAGCTTCCCTGGGAGCAATAACTCTTAGTGGCTGGAACGGCCCCTCCACTGGTGGATCGCTGAAGAAGCCAGCACTGCTCTCATCACATGGGTTCCCAACACTTGAGGACTGGCTAAAGCCAACTGACAAGTATGGTGTGTAAAGTGATATAAAAGTTATGTCCATGGAATTAAGTCCACCATGACCCATTCATATAAGCAACTAAACAAGTGCCAAAAGAAACACCATTTGTACTGAAAACAGGGAAAAGCCCACCTTCCCGGATATACAAACTGTTCTTTTCTAGGGCTGAGTTCTCTTCTGATCCCAAACAGCATGATCATTTAGATCAGGGCTGGGAAGCTTCCGGCCCTCCAGATGTTTTGGGCTATAATTCCCATTAGCATAACCAAAGGTGAGGAATAATGGTACTTGTAGGCCAGGACTTCCAGGATGGGCAACTGGTGGACCTCCAGATTTAGACTCTGAGACTGAAAGGAACTAACCCCAGATTCCAAACCCTTTGTTGGGGTAAGGATTCCTCCTACATTGCCAATAGGTCTGACAGTTGAATAAAGTTTTTCTTGGCGGACAAATCAGCAGTTAATTGAATGAATTAAATGGGATGAACCCAGACGGAAATCAGTGGGACTTGTCAGGATTAACAGTCGCATTGATTTAGATGGGGCCTAGTCTGAGTACGACTAAGCCTGGATCCTACCCATTATTGTGAAAGGCATGTGTTGCTTTTCAGATGAGGGAGGTGTGTGTCTCCATTTTAGAAGAGGCATTCACTCCTGCATGTAAGAGAAGAAGGCAGCCACCCTTCCGTAGCTTGTATTGAAAGGTATAGAGAAGTGTTGGAACATCAGTCAGAGTTAACTTCATAGCTGATGATAGCAGGGCCAAGTGTCACCAATGAAGGCCACCATCCTCTTGTCTCCTGACATGGTGTGGGGCACCATAGGATTTCTATAACCTCAAAGGTGGGACTCCAAAACATAGTGCCCCCATTTTGGCCCCTTCACAACTGGCATGGGAGGAACCATGCAGGGCGCAGGCAGCGAGGGCTAAAGGGGTGTTCTGGGAGGCTGGGGCTGATGGGTTGCACTACATCACCCCCCTTCCCTGCTTGGCACTTCATCTACACAGCCCAAGCCAACTCACTAGACAAAATGCAGGGCACCAAATCATCACCATCGTGCCTCCCTCTGTGCATGGAGCAGGGAGGGCACTGGGTTGCACCCGAAATGTTGCAGCCCTAATTACCAGCCTTCAGAAAAATCCCCCCTATGCCTGACTTGGTTCCTGTTTTAAGTCTGCTTTCTCCCTGGTATTTTCCTCAGGGGAACATATTTTATGCTTTGCAGCCTGCTCAGGAAATGAGGAAATTGTTCGTCTATTGATGGAAAACGGCGCTGATATCAGGTCACAGGACTCTCTAGGTAAGAGCTGCAGCCAGTTCAGGCTCCGTCCTCTTAATGATATCCAGCAGCTTTTTCCTCGGGGTTGAGGTGCTATAACCGGAGGGTCTATTGCAATTTAATAAGATATTTTTAATATTTTATTTTTCATTCCTTGTAATATGCCACTGCTACAATTCATGCTTAGCCTGACAAGTTAAAATGTGGCACCTTGATTTAAAAGTGATGCAACCAGATGAAGCTTTTCTTGGTTAAAATCTACCAACTAAATCTGAGTAAGTGTTATAGCTTACTCATAATCTGCTTTGGCTCCATTCGCATTAGCTATCAGGTTCTGCCTTCAGATTTGCAGTTCCCTAAGTGTGGTTCTTGCTTCGCTTCTTCTCCAGGTAACACCATCCTCCACATCCTGGTCCTTCAACCCAACAGGACATTTGCATGGCAGATGTACAACCTGGTCCTCTCCTATGACAAACAAGAGGGGAGCCTTGAACCTCTGGACTCTATTCTGAACAATGAGGGCCTCACGCCTTTCAAGCTGGCTGGAGTCGAAGGCAACACTGTGGTGAGCACCCCGGCACTTGGTCTCTGTGAAAGAGGCTTTGAAGAGAGGTTTATAGAAAAATGTTACGGCATATCCTATCACTTCACTTCAGGAAGCTCCACGCTGCTTGCACAGCGTTCCCTGACAGTCTCCCATCTAAGTACTAGCCAGAAGAAAGAATGATTTGAATGTGATGGCAAACCACTGTTATTACAGAGGCAGGCTCAAGCTTTGGGGTTGTAGTTCCTTCTGTCTTTTCATGTATGAGGCTTTTTTGCGTTTAGGACGGCATGAATGAATGAATGAATGAATGAATGAAGCAAAGCAGTGTTGACTTTCTCATTCAGAATGAGTAACAAAGAGCAGTTTCCTGCAGAACAGAAATGATGGAGGGGTGCCCAGGTGCATGAAAATTCATGGTCACAAACAAGGCTCCACTGCCTCCTGCACACATCCCAGCATGCCCCACACAGATGCCCCTTGTCAGAAGAGGAAACTCAAAGTAAACATCATATCCGTTGCAGGAGGGGCCCCGGTGCAGGGAAACCTCTAGGCTGCAGCACAGCTGTGAAGGTGTAGTCTTTGACTGCCTGGAAGCCAACAGCCTTTTCAACCACTGAGGCCTTATTTTGCTGGCCACAAATTTCCATGCATTTCCCCAAACCAGCATGCAGACTTGGATTTCCTGAAATTCAAATGCCATCTTGAGCATTCCCTCCTGTGGACCCCTGGCAGGCCCATCATGTGACTCTGGCTGTCTTTCTTCCTCAGTTGTTCCAGAACCTACTGCAGAAACGAAAGCAGGTGCTGTGGTCCTTTGGACCCATTACCACCATTCTCTATGACCTCACAGAAATTGACTCCTGGGGTGAAGATCAACCTTTTCTGGAGCTTGTTGTCTCCACCAAGAGAAGAGAGGTACTGTGAAGCTCAGATACTTTTTTTTGGTCTTTGTGGGAAGAGGACTTGCTGCCGTTATTGAACAAGGAATCCGAGTCTTTCCTAGCTGTTTGTGCAGCCCACCAGGTCTAGGAGCTTCCTGGCCAGCTGATGAAAGGAAGATGCAAAATTGCATTGCAATTCCATAAGAGAATTGACACCATGGACTTCAACTTTGTGTGAAAGAGTGAAGGACCATAGCTTTTATGCAAGCAGTCTGTTGGAAGAGTGCTAATGCTGCAGGAGGCAATATGACTGATCAGACTAAATAGCCTGTGTTCTGTTCTGCTGTTTCAGTAAAATAAACAAGGTTTAGGCCAAATAGTCATAATGTTCTCAAAGGGGCTCACCAAAGTGTTGGAAGGGTTTGCATCTATGGAGAGTTTTTAAAAATGCTAATGAAATAGCATATCAGAGAAGGTCAAACAATGGTTGTGTGTGTGTGTTTTCTCATGTTATTCTGATTTGGCCTTTAAACATAGTTCCTGAAATACGGAAAGTTGAAAGTTTCTTTCAAGCAAAAAAACCAAAAGCATTTTAAAAGATCACAGGTGCATCTGGGACTACAGCTGCATCTACAGAATCTTCTGGCAATGAGCTGCCATGGGAAATGCCTCTGTGTAGTGGCCCTCAATTTGTAGCAAGCTGGCCACGTGCGCCCCAGCTTTCAGCACGCACTGCCAAGAGAAAGGAGCTGCCTCCCAAGGGCTTGCATGCCGCCCAGGAACCTGGGAGGGAGGGGGCGGTGTTCATGCTGCCGTGGAACAGGGTGGTTCCATATAGCATTACAATCACAGTTCACCTGTTGCAACAGTAGATACTCTTTCCTTTTAAAGTCCCATGAAGATGCCTGTAAAACCTGAACAGTCTTTGAAGCCAACACTGATTGAATTCAAGGGAATAATAAAGGCTTAATGCAGATGTGTTACCTCCCTGAGGTTTGGGCAGTTGGGCTCCATCTGTCCCTGTCCCTTTATGTCCCTGCTGCCATGGATCTCACACTACCAGCTACTGTTGTCCATCTGACCTCCAGCCTTCCCGCCTTAGAAGCTGCCCAGTCACTTGATGTTGCAGGGAGGTCAGAGGAGAAGGCACAACAGTGTGGGCTGGCTGCTAAGCCATCGCTTCTGATTTGATCCAAACATTCTTTCTGTGTGTAAACATTGGTAGCAGAAGTTCAAGGATGGCCAGAGATCTGGCCTTGAAGCTGAAAATGTAAAATAGCCAGGGCTCCCAGACTGCAGAGCCAGTGAGAATAGCCAATTATTCTGAAGGCTTAATTCAGACTTCCATTTGAAGGCAAATGAATTTGGAAAAAATACTTTTAAAGGCCCTGAAATCTTAGTTCTAAAAATGGAATGCCCTTCCCAAGTGGTTGTTCCCGCCAAACCACAGCCTTTACAGATGGTGACTAGGGCAGGGCAGGGCAGGTCAACCTGTGACCCTTAGCCCAATTTCAAAAGCCCTTTGCCTGTAATCAGTTTTGACCTCTGGCAAGAGCAACCTGTCCCTCCCCAGCCACCACTGGCCAGGAGGCAAGAAAGGCAGGAGGCAAGGGAGAGAAACGATGTAGCTAACCTCTTCCCAAAACCCTGAAGAACCACTGGCAGTCAGCCTGTGCATGTTATCATTCTCTCATTTTCCTTCAAGAGAAATAAACTCTTTCGACCTTCAGGTCATAACTGGCAAAAACAACTCCATTGCCCTGGAAAGACAGATTATTTGCTTGCCAGGAGCTTGTTAACCCTGCTGACTTTTTCATATGCTCTTGAGCTGCTGTCCATTAAAGTCTATAGCTTGTTTATTATGTGGAAAACACTTCACACAACATGGGCCCATCCAATATCTGCAGCAGCAACTCCCATCAAGTAGTTTACCTTTATGATTTTTGCGTCATTGTAGCCCATTTCCTTTGACCTCTTTGAACCATCATAAACATCTGGAATGAGTCTGCTGAACATGGTTGGAAATAGATTCATAACCGTTTGATGACTGATGGGCAACTCCCATTATCCTGACTCGTGAAACTGCTTGTTTGCTTTTCTCCCTGGCAGGCTGAACTCTCCAATGCCTTAGAGATCACAGCCAGCCCCATTGGAGATTTTAAACCAGGGGTCCTCAAACTTTTTGAATAGGGGGCCAGTTGAAAAGTGCCAGAGATGGGCGTGGGCCGCCAAGGCAGTGCGGGCAGGGGGCACGGGCCGGGGGGGGGTGTGCGCATGTGCAGAAAGGCAGGGGCATGCGTGCGCAGAGATCATTTTCTCCCAATGAGTCCAAAACGATCTCCTTGCGAGCAAGCTATGGTGGGCCGGATCTAGCCCACAGGCCATAGTTTGAGGTCTCATGCTTTAAACTTTCCCCCTGTCCTATAGAACTTAAAAATGCGTGATTAGGTATTATCTGTGAATGTCATTATAGACTCAAGATACCATCTTTGGATAACTGTAGCTCTGTACCATAAACGATGACATACTTTCATAGTGTAACAGTAAAGGTGGTCATTGATAAATAACTCTGTTTTCCCAGAATCTGCTTGACTCCAGTTTTGGCTAATGCCCTGTGCAAGTAGGAGAGCGTTAAATGGTGGGAGAAGATCAGGGAGGAGAGTGGTTGAGGAACAGAATGAAAGAGAGGAGCTCTATTTGAAGAACCGTAATGGGAGTAGGAAATCAGAATCATGCTCACTGGCTCCACTCCAACCTCCATACATTCATCAGGGGCTTTGTCCAGACGTTCCAAGGGATGTGTGATGGGGGGGGGGGAGCAGGCATCCTCTCCCCCCTCATCCGCATCATCATACCTGCTGATGACATCTGAATACAAAAGAACAAAAATGAAATGGGTAGAAGAAGAAAAGCAGGCACAGACAGTTAAATAAATAGAAGATGATGGTGGTTCTGTACTGCAGTTTGGAGTTGACGGTGGGGATATTAGAGTAATTTGGAAGTACATCTTTTCACAAGGCTGCTGCAGAATGTGACAGTAGCTGGTTTACACGGCCTTAAGTTGGAATTGGGCACGTTCATGCAACGTGTGTATGTGTGCAAAAGAGAGAAGCAGTGGGAGAGGGCTGCTTCCTTTGTACCCCTTTTGGGCTTCCCAAAATCATCTGTCTGTGCATTGTTGGGAATGAGATGCAGACCCCTTGGTCTGACTCAGCAAGACTGCTCTAATAGTCTTGGTTCTAGGTTCCTTTATGGACCCCTGATCATGAATGCATTTATATCATGCATCCCATACAGACAAAATACTCCATGTATATTACTACAATACAATGCAAGTCAGGAAGAACTATCTTATATCAAATGGCATGATATAAGAGAATGGCTTTCCTAAATCCACCTGCTGAATTCATGGCAGAGGCAAGATTTGAACCAGAGACTTTCCAGCTCTCCACCTTAGCTGCTGAACTCTGTCAGGTCTTATCCATCAGTCTCTTAAGGAAACAATACCAAATGATATTTTTATTTGTCTCCAAGGGTGCTTATGCTCACATAAAACATCCAGCAAAATAGAAACAATTTTTAAAAGCCATAAACTAAGCCCTATTCAAAAGCAAACCTGCACACGAAACCTATAGTCCCTGTACTGCGTAGAACTGGCACTGTTACCCATATGCTCTTTGTGTTGCTCCTTGGGCATAAAGGCACAGAGGAACATGTATTAATAGGAGGGAAGCCTGTCCTTGCAGACTCATGATGGCTAAAGTTAGGCTAATTTCAGTAGAGTACAAGATTAATCCCATGGGCATCATAGCAGCTGCTTTAATTGGACCATATTTAAGAGTGGAGGAAATCAGTGAATCCTAGAACTCAAGTGTTATAATTGCAGACTAAGGATGTATTGTCACGTAGGTTCAGTTGAGGCATTAGACCAACTATGACTTGTATTAATCATAGCTTAGAAACAAATGATGGTTTCAGTTTCCAGATATGCAGCAGCAAAGTGTAGTTTTTGAAGCTGCTTCTTGGCTTTCATCTTCTGTCTGATCAGCATTTCCAGTTCCATGGTTCAGGGGCTTCCAGCAACAGAGCCCCTGAACAGCCTTAATTCTAGTCAGCAAGTTCAGGTGTCAGGCTAAGGTTAACACAAACTATGATGTGAAAATAGACATCCAACAAGGCTTTCTCGTTCTACATTTCTTGCCAATTGCAAGCCATCATGAACTGAACCATAGTTTGACACAATTCCTAAATCCTGTTCAATCCAGTTAACTGGTTCCCATTACTGAGTGCAGACCTGGTATGATAATAAGAGAAAATAGTCTGTGATAATGCATTGGTGACACCAGTGTAAGGATGTAAAATGATCCAGTGACAGCTGTGGTTGGTATTCAGGAACACATAAGAACTCTCTCTCTTTGTAGCTAGTTAGTAGCAGATCTGCCAGGTGGGGAGGCTGGCTGGCTGGCTGGCTGGCTGGCTGGCTGGCTGGCTGGCTGGCAGGCAGGCAGGCAGGCAGGCAGGCAGGCAGGCAGGCAGGCAGGCAGAGGTGGGGTAGAATCTCAGGAACAGATATTCCAACTTGTCTTAAACTAAAAATTAAAATTTCTGCTGCACTCTAAGAAATAGCATCATATCCCTTTGGAACCCTCCGATATCCTATTTCCCCAAAAATAAGACCTGACCTGAAAATAAGCCCTAGCTTATCAGGTCTAAGCCACAATATCTAATTCACCCCACTTAGTGGTTGGAATATAATAACTTCTTTAACCACATGAATGTGTGATAATAGATGAGGAGGGGAAAATCTGGGAGTTACTCAGTCTTACTCTAAAGGCATCTAAATCTGCTGCCTAAAGCAGCCCCTTTGCTCTGCCTCATGATGGGGCCAGTCTAAGCCTGTATCCTGGAGATTAGCTCCCCCCCCACACACACACATTTATGAGAAAGCATGCATTTTGTAAGATGTGGAAACCCCAAAAAGCAACTGACTGCAAAAGTATTTTCTCTTGTCCTTGTCAAAGGATAGAACCCCCCCACCATCTTGCAAAGGAGAATGCCCCTTCATCATGTTCTCCTGAACTGCAGGCAATGCAGAAAAAGAAGAGTCTTTCTCCCCACCTTCTCATGGGCTTTGCAGGCAGCATGTCTGAGAATACCAGCTCTGCAGGCATGGGGGAAGATGAGCACATGCGTGGTCCTTCCATAAGGAACCTTTGAGAGAGAGCGGTCTTCAAATCTGGACCGTGTTGGAGAACTCACTCGCACAACAGGAAGAGAACTGCAGTTCTGCATCTCTGACCTTCAGCAGGAATCTGCTAAGTCTCCAAGTAGCTCCAACCCTGAGGCAGAATCCACTGTTGCTCTTGCATCACTCCCGGTCCTTTCGAGGGTCCTTGTACAGGAGAACTTCCCCTGGGCTTGTAGCAGAGCATTATAGTGATAATCTGCTGCATCAATGCACTATGAACCAATGGGAGGTTCCTGCCTCCAGCATATGCCACCTTCACTTAGGCTGTAGCCTGGTGAAAGATACCAGCAGGAAAGGAGATGGGGAGTGCATAGGTGGAAGCACTAGAAAGTCTATAAGGTTTCTTTTGGCTGGGGAGAGATAAAGCTGAAGGCGCCAGAGGAGAGGCAGGTTTTGAAGAGAAATTGCTGAGCCATATGGGTGTTCTGGTGAGGGGTTTGCCTTCTCCAATCTGCCAATCAGCTTTGGCATTTCCCAACACAAGCAACCATTCATGATAGAGAAGCCATTTAAGCCTTGTGCTCCTTCTTTCGAAAGTTATCCGCTAAGCGTTTACAAAGAGCTTTGCTAATTCCCTAGAAACATATCTTGGTTTGAGATGAAGAGAGTTTTGTGGTGATTTCTTTAGTTAAAACAAAAATATGTTTCTTATGTTCTCCCTTTCAAAGGAGGGGATATTGTATTCTGCTGATCAGGGACCTTCAGAACTAGTTCTCAATTCTACTCTCTCTTGCTTTCTCTCTGTCTTGCAGGCTCGTCATATCCTAGACATCACCCCGGTGAAGGAGCTAGTAAGCCTGAAGTGGAACACATGTGGACGTCCTTACTTCTGCTTCCTGGCTTTATTTTATCTCCTCTACATGATTTCCTTTACCATGTGCTGCGCTTATCGACCTCTAAAAGATTACCTGGGAAACTCTTCTTCTGACCGGGACATCACTATCCGCACCCAGAAAACATTGCAGGTGTGTTGAGCTACAGCCCTGAGCTACAGGTTTCCATTTCTCTGTGTATCTGTGCATGCTGCAAAATAGGAAGGAGATGATAAGGGGAGTTTCGGAGTGTGCTCCAGGGATGGGGATGAGATTGTCAAATGCCTCCTATATTAAAAATCCTTTGTAGCAGGAGGAGAACTGAGCTGAAACTTTTCTCCCTGGCATTTTTGTAACTGCAGTGCCAATAATCAGGCCAGGCTGTCCTGACATCTGAAGTACTGTAGTCCAAGAAAAGTTTTACCAGATACTTAAGAGGATCCTATCATAAGATGCTTTGTGTGTTGATGCCACAGTATTGGCATCAACTTGACCCCTCCCCAGGGCTTCTGTTACTTTATATTTGCTCACTAACTGGTGGTCCTTTCCCATTTTTAGGAATCGTATCTAACATATGAGGATCATCTCAGACTGGTGGGAGAGTTGATTACAGTGACAGGAGCCATAGTGATCTTGCTCTTGGAGGTAAGGAAAAGAATAAAGTGGTAAGAGACAAATCTTTCACAGCTTTCACCAATACCAGCATAAAAGTTCCATCTAGCACTGGCTGTGCCACAGAACCCCTGTGCTTTCATAGGGCAGGCCCAAGCTACAAAGTTTTAACTGTGAGCACTTCCTCTCAGGAGCCAGTGGTGGAATTGTACTTTGGGGAGAAGTTCTGTATTAGCATCTCCTGTTTGTGAGTTAAAATAAATGGTGAAAGTGATGGAAATACATAGCAGAGACAAGCCTGCTGTGGGAGAAAACAGCCAATATCAGTTAACTTCATCCCACTTCATTCCTGGATTTTTCTGGGGATTCAGACATGGCCAGCCTTTACGTGTGTCTTCCTGTCACTTCTTTCCTATCTTCTTCATTTGTATGCCCTGTCAAATATCATATGGGTGTGATTAATTAATTATTTGATTTGATTTATTTATTAGATTTATATCCCACCTTTTCTTTTACAAAGAGGTTTTTTTTTTTTTTTTACAAAGAACTCAAAGCAGCTTACATCATTCTCCTCCTGCTGCTCTCAATCTTATCTCCACAAGAACAACCTCATGAAGTAGGTTGGGCTGAGAGTATGTGACTGGCCCCAAACAAACAAACAAAATGATAAGAGTACGTGACTGGCCCAAATGATATGTGTTCATTCATTCATTCATTCATTCATTCATTCATTCATTCATTTATTGTACTTATATGATAAGGCCAGAGGTCACAGTTATTAAAAGTCTCTGTCTCACTCTATTCCATTGGCTCAGGGGAGCTTATATTTTAAAAGTGCTTCCTTTTTGGAGAAGTCTGTCAGCAAATTTTCATACCTCATGTCATTCTTTCCTTTAAGTCCCCTTAAAACCTTAAGAAAGCTTAAATATATACTCCGAACTCTTCCTGGCACACTGTCTTTCCTTCGGGTCCTGTCCTGCCCAGATGACGCCTGATTTAATTACCCCTTGCCCCACAGGCCCATTTTGGAATTTGAGTACTGCCACAAAATGCCTAATCAGTGGATCACCACCACACTGGCTTCTTCCCGTCTTGTCTATGGCTCTTGGGGTGCATCTTATTCAGACAAACAAGTGTTGCTTGGGCATCACAGCATCTTTAATATGGGATTGTCTGATTTGGCTAACTGCTAGCGGTGCAGAACAGCTCATGCTTCATTTAAATATATGTTTGGACTGTGTCCAGGAGCAGCTTCTTTTTAGGGAAATGTTAGTACATACACAATTTTGTACTGGAACAGTCTATAATGCGCACTGATGTACACTCTCTTTTTAATTATCTTCTTTGCACAAATTAACAAATGGAAATGGGTTACCTGCACCCTTTTGGCAACCAGAAGACAGACATTACAAAACCAGGAGGATAACACTCACCTCCTATAGTGAATCGAGGACCTTACAGTGCTTTCAGTATATGAATAGATGGATGCCTGTTGCAAATGGATACCTATTTGGATAGTTGGTCCACTTTAGCTGAACTCTGCATCTCATTGTTAGAAAGTTGTAGGCATTCCATACAAATCCATGCATGTATATTAAAAAGACAGGGAAAGGATGCTAAATTGGGGTTACCCATGGCACCACATTCCTGATAATTCTGTGGGCATCCTGCCACCTGCAATGGATGTCTTGAGATAAGCAGCTGCAGCCCTAGATGGAAATGGTAATCTTGTGAGCTGGCAGGCTGCTTATATGTAATCCATTCTAATGGATACCATCTTTTCAGATTCCAGATATTCTAAGAGTTGGAGCCACCAAGTACTTTGGGCAAACCATCCTGGGAGGACCTTTCCACATCATCATGTGAGTTTTACATGTCTAGAATTTACTTGTATATGTTCTTTCTTGCTGATTCTCTGGGTGCTTCCAGATGGGGGACTTCTGGGATACAGCAGCCAGAAGACATTGTTCTTAGCAGCAGTTCTATTCCGCCCAACACATTCTGTAGTGAGAAAGAAAATGGCAGAAGTGGTAGGAAAACATGGCAGGGTTACAAGGAAAGGAGGGGTGTGTTTGAACTCCCCCTGTAAGTATCCATGAATGAGGCAGGATGATGGCACAATAAAGGCTATGCTTCTATTTGTTCTTTATTTTGCTTAGCATCTAGTGATTAATTCCACTCCGGATTTCTTTCTTGGCAAGGCTCGGTTGCAGAATCACAGCTGATCTATTTGCCTGAACTCTGGTGTTTATTAATTCTTGATTTGATTTGTACCCTGGCTTTCTACAAAAAGGGCACCTGAGGAATTTGGAGGGGAGCTTGCAACATTTCTTAGAGGGGTTCAGGTGAATCTTCTAAGGATGCTTGGCTTTGCCTAAAGTGAAAATTGAATCTTGAGTTTGCTCCAGAGTGTGATGGGTTCAGGGAAACCAAAGAGCTTGAAATAGAATAGCCCAAAGATGAAGCAACTGGAGCAGAAGGCACCCAAAAAGATGCCAGCACGCCATTTGTCCGAATCTCTTTGTGAGGGAAGGGGTGTTGGGGACCCACATCCCTCAGCAAAAGGCTTGCTCCTCATCTCTTCCCCATGGCTCCTGACCCCCTCCTTGAGCCTGGGGAGCCACAGAGTTGCTTTCTTCCCTGTCACCTTCCTCTTGCATGTTGCTGTCCAGGGAAGCCTGTTTTCTTGGCCTGCTTGCAAGAATGCATCTCTCCGCTCTGAGAATATCAAGCCTGTTCTAGGCCGGCCAACAAGCTGAGTTGGGTGCTCACCACCTCTGCAGCTTCCCGATGACTCTGCAGGGTTGCTGCTTTCCCCGTAACTCCCTTCTCTGCTGGGCCCTCCACTTTCTTTCTCTTCTCCCCATAGTCGTGGTCCTTCACCTGCCTTCCAGGACCTCAGCAAGGAGGAGCTGCCTTTTAACCCCTTCTTGAGGAGAAATCCCTCTAGCCTGGCCCTTTTGCAGAGTGGTGCCTTTTGTTCTGCTCTGAGGGCAATGAAATTTCTCTGTGTCTTGGGCATTGAAAAGGAAGCGATCTTGCAACTAAGCACAGGACACAAACACAGAGGTGTGCATTTACACAAGCACAAACGAGCAAATGTGGAGTCCACCACCGTGATCACCCCTCTTCCTTTACAGCATCACATATGCCTGTTTGATCCTGGTGACCATGGTGATGCGTCTCACGAGCACCAACGGAGAGGTGGTCCCCATGTCTTGTGCCCTGGTGCTGGGCTGGTGCAACCTCATGTATTTTGCTCGAGGGTTTCAGATGCTGGGGCCCTTCACCATCATGATACAGAAGGTAAGAAGTGCTCTAGGGATCAGTTTCAGAGAGCTAATAGAGAAAGTACACTTCTTCGTCAGAGGAATCCCGCAGGTGTAACAGGGACTCAATGCCCTGTGATGCATCATGGGGCTCATTTTCATCAGAAAAAGCTAATTTGTCATAAATCCCTTGATTCAGCAATTTGTATACTTCAACAAGTGCTTTGCAGGATCAAATGAAGGTTCAGTCTAGAATTGGCAGTTCAATGAGAGTTGCAGCCCAGCCCTCCTGTCTAGTCTACTTTTTATTGTCCAGAGATAATTGGAGGCAAAATAACCTACTGTGAGACAGCTGGACATCATGACAACTCCTTCCTTTTGTGTTGGTTTGTCTCCTCTAGATGATATTTGGAGATCTTACTCGCTTCTGTGGGCTGATGGCTGTTGTGATACTTGGCTTTGCTTCAGGTGAGTCAGAAACAGATAAATACATTTCTAGGTCATTTCAGCCACCCACTGGATTTTGCATTACACTTTGAATATTCCGTGTGTTAAAGAAGCCACAGCCTTGAGTTCACAAGAGCTGAGCAGGAAATCTTCATTCATAGGATCTCCATAAGTCAAAGATGACATGACCACACATAACAACATGATAACCTGGAGAAGAGGTTCTTCTCCAGTGGAAAACTGGAGAGGCTTTGCCCATAGATTCATTCATGTCAAAGATGGACATGCCTTCACATTTTTGCCCAAAGCAGATCTCCCCTCCCTTCTCACTGTTCCCAAACCTTCTTTTAGCAGTGGCTTTCCCACTGTGTTCTGCAGAGTCCATGGAAGGTTACCGGGGTTCCACATTAAGTTCTATTGCAGCTCCGAATGCTGCAAGACAGACACGTTCTTCAGCATTCACTGCTGACCTCCGGCACTGTAGAGCCACAGGGAAGTGCTGGGCACATTTTCAGGTCTCATGGAACAATAACTAGTCTGAGCAGACCTGACTGGTGCCCTGTGTGGATGGAGAGCGCAGCCTAGAAGGCACTGCAGGCTTGGGGAACAGCTGTGGCAGAGGACAGATGCAGACAGCAGGGGGGGGCCTGCTGCCCACCTGGCGAGGCTTCCCAGAGGGACCCAGCAGGCCACTGGGGGAACTGGGGTCCAGCAGGTCTCTGAAAGTGGGGGTATTTCTTGCTCCCTGTACACCACATGCTCTGCATTCTTAGACTTCTGAATTCTAAGAAATCCCTCTGCACTAGCTTAGCCTTTGTGTCTCTCCAGTCCCATCCAGGCACATTCCCCCCCTCCCCACACACAGTACACACTTAAACCTGGCAATTGTCTGCCCGTGTGTTCCCCGTGGGCCTCCAGCAGCCGTAGGCTGAGTTGATAGGTTGCAATGAACTGTTTGCTGGCCTAGAAAGGGGAGAAACAAACGGAAATGTCACATTTCAAAAATCTCAGGGACAGAAAGAGATTCGTGCTGCTGTCCATACGTTGCCTTACGGAGGAGGGCTGGATGGTAGTTGTATGCAAGGGAGCGCCACATTTCTCTTCTCCATCCCGGTGCTGTTGCTAAGGGAAGGCGGCAAGCCCCTGCAGGATACTATAGATGGGGGTCATAGGAAATCTCTCCAAGTCTGCCCAGGGGTCCAGCAATAGTGCAGATGAGTGGAGGTGCGCCCTGCTTATCGGAGGATGACTGCCCCTCCCGCATTTAAGTGTGGGAATGTTGCATTCGTTGTGCTGAGGTACCAGGACTTCCTAGCGGGGCAGGGGGAACAGAGGAAGAATGGGATTGAGACAAGGGGGCTGCAGTGGGGGGAAGCTGCAGCAAGATCTCGCAGAAGGACATGCAGAGCTGCACACCGCCAGCAGGAGGTCAACAGGTGAGGATGTGAGAGAAGGGTGGCCCAGGGGAGGAAAGCAGGTGAGGTTGCTGTGCCTCTGAGATACAGGAGACGTTCTGAGATGGTAGAAACCAGTCCACACAGTGGAAAATACGTAATGTGAGAATGCTTCACACTCTGCGCTCTGTGTAGCTGACCAGTCCTTTCTTTCCCCACCAGCCTTTTATATCATCTTCCAGACAGAGGATCCCAGCAGTATGGGAGAGTTCAGCACCTACCCACTCTCTCTGTTCACCACCTTTGAGCTGTTCCTTACCATCATTGACGGACCCACCAACTACGATGTGGACCTGCCATTCATGTACAGTGTGGTGTACTTTGCATTTGCCATCATTGCCGCTTTGCTCATGCTCAACCTGCTCATCGCCATGATGGGCGACACTCACTGGCGTGTGGCCAGTGAACGGGACAAGCTTTGGCAGGCTCAGGTGAGCATCAAGTGGGGCAGTGGCGGTCCCTGTGAGTCAAGTGCGAGTTGCATGGCGACGCTGCAGATGTGTACCAGGCTCGAGCTGGTTTAATTGGCATGGCGCTAACAAAACAACTGTAGGAACTGAGTTTCTGTAAAGGCCTCCAAATTCTTGGCACTGGAGAAGCCACGATCCTCAAACTGTCTTAAAACCACATTAATGTTGTAATGTAGAGGTGCCCCTACAGCTGCCTTTCCCAGCTTTTGAACTACAGTTCCCAGTACTCTTTACCATTGTCCATGCTGGCTGGGGATGATGGGATTTGAAGTCCTAAACATCTAGAGGGTCACAGTTTAGGGTAGGCTGACTTAAAATGGAAAGGTGACCATTGCTTATGTCTGCCATAGTTCCACTAGCAAGGATGTTTAGAAACAGAGCAAGTCGGAAGAGGTCTCCCAGGCCATCTAGTCTGACCCCTGGCTCCAAACAGCTCTGCTCGTGTACTTCACAACATTTTATCCTCCCCCTGCATTTAATTGTTTTGTTCTGTACTTTAACTGTATGCTGTCCCATCCACAGTCTTAATTAGGTACAGAAACAAATAAAGGCCATGCTCGTGAATCATTCCAGTCCAGTCAGCAACTAAATGTGCAGGGTCCGGGTCTGCCAGCCCTGTGGACATTGTTGTATTGCGAGAGGAATAGCACTTTGCATGCACTCCAAAGAATGGTGCCCGGAGATGAGTTGGGAGAAGGAAATCAGTGAGCACCACTGAACCTGACCAGATTCTCCTCCAGTTTCACATGTATGATGACTGGCTGCAATGCATTCAGTTGCATTCCCACTTTATTATAGGTCAGGCCATAATTTGAATAGCCAAAAGGCCTTCAGGATTGGTCACAACACTTCACAACAATACTGAGACAAGCCACTGAATAACTGCGATTAAAACCAATCTAGAGCCGTTGAAAATAGACAAAACTTCAGAAGCATGAAATGCATTATCATGCTATGCCCAGCTTTAGTGGAATTAATACAGGCGGTCTCTCTCCAGGTCAAGAACACTCAAGTCATGAACATCCCTACTTAGGCACAACCTGCCATAAAGTCTGTTAATTTAAAAATTCAAGTGAAAGACAGATGGTTTGTAGTAATGAATGCAAACTAGTTTCCATGACCTACTGTGGAAAATTGTCATCACCATAGAGAGAAAAGAAGTGAAAGGGGAGAGGGAGGCCTCCAAAGCATCACCATAGAGAGAGAGGAAGTGAAAGGGGAGAGAGGGAGGCCTCCAGAGCAGGCCTTCCTGCTCTACCCATCTGGAGAGGGAAATCCCTCCACCATTTCCTTGGTGCAAATTGGAGGCACTGGTGAAGAAAGTGAGTGTGGAGAATAAGAACCTAAGAATGTACTAAATGAATAAGGGGAGCCCCGCTGGATCGCACCAAAGTCTGAGAGAGAGAGAAGCAATCCAGTACACATACAATCCAGTGAACAGTATTAAGAGTTAAGGTTTGGGGGCGTCTAGAGATATTAGCCGCTTTTCCACTTTTGCACTGATCCTGCACTCCTAGCCCCTGCAAAAGTAGAGAGCTGACTGTATATGGAAGTGTTTCTGAAGTGCTTTATATGCATAGAAAAGTAAAACATATACATACACTTAAGACAAACATTTGGCTGACTCATGCTAAATATGACCCGTAAAAACATGATCCAACTTACATACAAATTCAGTAAGGACGTTCTCGGGGACAGAACCCGTTTGTAATCCAGGGACTGCCTGCATTAGGTCCCCACCCGCTGCTCACTCACGAAGCTTGCCAGATGACCCCAGTGCACTGTTTCTCAGATTAATTTACCTCACAGAGTAGTTGTGAGGGTAAAATGGACTTAACCCACAGAGCTTTATTGCTGGCTCCCACTTGGGTGATGAATGAATGAATCATTACTTAATTAGTGTGGCAGGTCAGTAAAATTTACAAATGTGGATCGATTAAATAAAGAGAAGCAGTTTGATTTATGAATATAAACCTGTCAAGCTGAGCTGCTTTAAGCACTGTGCTCAGGAAGGCAAGATATAAACATGATATACTTTCCATCTATATGGGGGCTTTGGAAGGATTACTCTGACCCTTTGCTTTGACGCAGGTTGTTGCCACGACGATCATGCTGGAGCGGAAGCTTCCACGATGGCTCTGGCCTCGCTCTGGCATCTGCGGGCGAGAGTACGGGCTCGGGGACAAGTGGTACCTGAGGTGAGCCCCTCTTGTCCGGGTGCGCGTGTTCTGCGTGCCTCGTGGAGCGCGATGGCACAGCAGTTGCAAGGCGCTCGGCCTCCACTTTGCTGCACATCTGGCCACACATCTCCGTGGTTGCTCCCGGCCATACTTGCAGTGCTGCCACTGTATTGGCAGCATGTTCCCTGCTGCCAAGCTCAGCCCTTCCCCGCGGCTGCCCTTGCTGGGGTCAGGGGTGGCTGTGCACAGACCTACGCCTGCGAGAGGCGTGCTGCAGCTAAGGCCGGGAGCTGGGGCTGGGATGCAAGAGTGACGCGCAGAAGGTGCTGCTTCTCTGCTGACCAAGCAAGGTTCATCACAGCCCTCCAGTCTAGAGGCTTCAAGCTGCCTGCCAGCCACAGGGAACAGCTTTGCAGCTCCCTCTTCCCCGAGGCTGGAACAGGCAGACCCAGGCAGCTGACCAAGCGAGGCCCCAGCCATCGAGTGCCAGGTCTGGTCCTCGGAGTCCCTGCCTGGAGGAGTCCTTTAATCTTGGCAGCACAGCCTGGTGCCTGGCACTGGATGCCTAGCACAGGGTGAGCAGGGGAACGTATCTCTTACGGCAGCCCTGGGAACGGCCCATCCCCTTTGCCCCAGCACCCTCTTGTGCTGGTCACAGTGATCGAAGACCAGCCCAGCCACATTGGCAGGCGGAATTGGGGAAAGGGCCCTTATGCTCCTCCTTTCTCCCTTGTCTAGGGTGGAAGAGAGTCTGGAATCAAACAAGCTCAAGGCGCTTCGCTATACAGAGGCCTTTAAGAACCAGAACAAGCAGGATTCTGGCAGGTCTTCCAAAGAACTAGAGCCGGGTGAGGATTTCCTATTCAAGAAGGAATCCTCTCCCTCTGTCTCCAGGAGCACATCCCAGAGCAGTTTCCACCGTGGCTGGCAAATCCTGCGGCACAACACCTTCAGCCACTGCCGTGGGGAAGTTAACCCTGCCTTGGAAGAAGAGGTCTACCACATCTGAGATCCCTCAGGAAAGACTGTTCACGCTGCAGCTGCTTTGTGCTGCATCGCTGATTCCTCCGGGAGCAGGCAGGATCTCATGGCGGTGGCCCTGGGTTCCAAGATGGCCGCTCTCTTCCTAGGTTCAGCTCATGCCTGCTGTCTGATATTTCTCAAAGACAGTGCTGCTGCACTTGTGGGCGATGGAGCTGAGGCATGTAGGGGTCTCTGTGGTAGGGATATGCATCCCCTTCCCAGGGAAACTGAGCGCTGATGTTTATCAGTGTCCAAAGGGCTCTCACAGGAGTTAAGTTACAGCCTGACCAATAGTTCCTGTCTCTCAACATGTTCTCAGGCCACATTCCACAAAAATCTCCCTGCTCCCTGAAGAGCCGGCTCTATTAAAGCTAATACGCAAAACAACAGCCATTCTCTAAACTCAGGGAACAAACTAAAGCCAAGAGAGCAACTAAACCGCCTGTCAACAGATAGCTAACTTTCCGACGAGCCTTGAATTGGGTGGACCCCTTTGGGATGGCTGCCCTAGGGAGGATGGACCGTGTTATCTGTTTTGACTGTGACAAGCCAATGCACTTTAGGCCAAATATGTAGCTGTGGGTTTTATCCCAGACAGAATTTTTCCAGGACCGTATCATAAGACTTACTCTTTCTGGAAAGGCTGGAGTAAGCCCATCTTTTCCTTGGCTGCACTGTTTTCCTTCAGGAAAGGGGAAGAGGTGCATGGACTCGTTTTGTGCCCATGTGCAGCTGCCAGTATTTCTCCTTCCTGGATTCTTTTCATCTCATCAACTGCTGCCTGTGTACATTTCCTGCAGAGAGGCACCCCAATTTCCTGTCATACCTTGCTAATCCAAAGTAGCATTATATACTGGCTGGTGGCAGGACACTACGGGTATTTGGGTTGCCATCCCAATCATGAGCTGAAGCTGGTGGTGAATTTTCTCACTCCCTGCACAGTGCCTTTTGGGAAGTCTCTGATGAACTTTCCTGCAGATCCACCTTGGAAGGAAGGCTCGTCTTTCAGCAGTTACAAGCAGAAGGGGCTGGGGCCGCCGCAGTCTCCTTCTAGCATTATTGTCACTTTGAGCTTCATTTTGCCAGGAAAAAAACAGGTCATGACTTAAAGAAAAGCAGTAACTCAAGACTGGTGCCTTTCCAATTACGGGACTAAAAGTGGAAAGTTACTCACATTCCTCTGTAGCAGGAACAGTGAAGGGAGTTCTCCACTGGCCCAGCGAAATGCGCTTGCATTTCTATTGCCAAGCTACTACATGAACAGCATCAAGGAATTATGAAATGGTACACTGAGGGTTAATCGTGTTTTTGCAGTTTGATGCGATGATGTTGTTGCCTGCTTCATATTGAGGTGAGCCTGTGGCTTCAGAGGGGCCTCCAAGGCTTGTTCGTGTGTTTCATCTCCTTTCTGTGACATGAATGCAGCTTTCAATGCCAACTTTCCTTTAACCTGGTGATTTTCAAACTGTGCTCCAGAATACTCTAGTGTTCCATAGAACTGTGTCAGGAGTTCATCAATGAAAAGATCAAAAAAAGGCAGACAAGCTGCTGGGGAGACACTTTACGGGCCACCACTGTTTTTTTCCTGCAGTGGGCAGTTGCAAGGAAAAGGTGGGTACGGTCTAGAGAATGCACACAGTTCATATAGGGCCACAGAGGGACCAACCTGAATCCTAAAGATGCCGGTTAACCCTTACTGAGATTCTGTGGCTGATATGCTTGGGAGTGGTGATTCTTGGCAGAACAATGCTATAGAAGGACTTCTTTACCTGGAGACAGAAAGTTTGGAACTCATTTTTGCAGGTTAAAGTGAACAACAGTGCATTAATTGACTTCAGCGGACTGGATTTGCATTGGTTGGCCTTAGTTACTTTTTTATTTCCATAGGTTCCTGCTATGCACAAGGTTTGCACTTGAAGGCTTTAGGAATGGGATTTGCACACATATAAAACTGTGATATGTCGCAGTACAGTCTGCAAACTTGATTTCATTTCATGTCTTGATCAATGGGAAGGAGAAACTGTGTGTTCTTCTGCCAAACAAAGCCAACCCCATCAGGGGGTCAGAAATACCACTGAGGCTTCCTGATTATAGTCATTTCTCAAGAGGGCTTGCATCTGCTTGCATCTCAAAAGGATGGAGGTGATGAGCCTGGAAATTCACCATGAACTTTCCTGTATGTGAGGATGAAAATGGCAGTCTGGTTCAGCAGTTTATACCACAGAAGCCTCCTGCAATGGGCTCCCCAGGACAGCCTTAGATGGCTTCCTTTCAGAAGGTTGGCCTTCTGCACAGTTCCTTCCCACATGAGTGTCAGTGTTGACCCCAACAAAGGAGCCACAGTGGTGTGGGGAAGACTCATGCAAGAGGAGAAGTTTCCCCTTCTTTATCCTCACAATGCGGGAGCTGGACAAGGCTTGCAGCGACAACTGCACCAGCAAGGTGATCCGTGAGCCGGGCCTGAGCAGAACTTGGCTCACAGCCTCATTGTCCAAAAGGGAAGACCCACCCTCATCCCATAGGGGGTGCTTAGTCTCCAGCACACGTGAAGCCACTGCCTCTTTTGGCTGAAGTAGCTCCTTTTACACATCCCAGCAGCAGTCTGTAGCAGCAAAGGGCACTGCCCTTCCTCAGCAACTAAGTTGGGTTTTGGGAGACACCATGGCTAATAGAAGCTTCTGCAGCAGAACACCCACCATGGCACAATCCACTGGGAAATTCTGGTGTGAGTCCTAATCATCATCATCAGTGTGGGGTTAGTGCAGAAGAACTTCCTGGTGAATTATTCCCCTAGTCTCTCCTTTTGCCATAGTGATTTTTTAGGGCTAATTCAGGTGTTAAGCAGAAACAAATGATTCTCCTTCTCGGATTGTTCCATTTAATGCCACAGATGGATGCAAGGAAAGCATTAAAAATAGCCTATCTGGGAGAGGGTGACACTTAATCGCTTCTCTATGATACACTGTTTTCCTGTGCAAAAATGAATGTCCATTGAGTACATTTGGGCTTGTTATCTCTCACCAGTCCAGGAAAAGCTTTACCTCTTCATTCTGCTGATGGTATGAACCTGTCCTCAAAGTCATAGTAATTTTCTACACCATTGGGACTGAAACATCTCCATGACTTATATTCATGTCCCTTTAAACCACTGAGCTCCAACTCAGGACAGCATCTCTAAACACAACGAAAACCAGCTTTTCAGTTCATTCCACTTGGGTGACTTTCACTGCCAGGGTTCTCATTCATTTTATGAAATCTCATTATTGTTCTCTCAGAAATTTAAGCTTGGTTCTAGTGGTATTTTTCCTTAACAAATGCTGAATTTGCATCCTTGCAGTCATACCTATCTGAGTATGTTAAATACTGTCAGCCCTAAAACAGTGAAGTAGGAAAGGTGTGTGGAAACTGGATATGGGATAGCAAAGTGACAGGATTTTGGAATTGTGAAAGTTTGGCTTTTGCAAAATAGCAACAATGAATCGGGCAAAGGTTGCATTCCAATGTACATTAAATTCCAATTTATGTTTCAGTAAATAGTTTATATAATGGGCACCAGTGGGTTCAAAGGCCAGTTTGGTTCAAAGTTGCATGTCTGGAACAAAGCTGAAATTCTGTGTGCTGCAAGGACTCAGTACACAGGAAGTTGGATTATATGAGTGAGACCATCTAGCCTAATAATGGCTCTCACTTTGGGGGCAAGAATTTTTCTAGCCCTACCTGGACATACTAGGAACTGAACTTGGGGCCTTCATGCAAAGCAGATGCTCAGGAATCCCACCTCAAATCTAAAGCTGTTCTTACAGTGTCAGACTTTTAGCAGCCATATTACAGCAAAACCTCTGCTCATTTTGTCCACACACATCTCAAAGTTGGTTTGGGGAGCTCTGACCTAAAGTCCTGTTGCAGACATTTTAATGGGGAAAGTGTGGAACAGCATCACTGCAAAAAGGTAAGGGAATATATCGACACTGGAAATGTGTGTTGCAGTATCTCTCAGCTTCCCCACAGAACTCTTGGGAATTACAACTGGATGAAGCACTGAAAATGCTGTTAGCAATCCCTAACCTAACCTATCAAGGCGATATTAATTCTGTAATAATTCATGTGGGATTAAGTCCTATTGGATTTTATGAGATGTACTTCTGAGTAGACATGTATATGATTGCACCATCAGTCTATAATGTCAGTCATATCACTTGCTCTACTTTGCATGCTATTTGTGAAGTGAATTAAGGTAATATGAGTTCAGATTTGTTCTAGTTCGGAAATGTGTTCTGTGTGTGTGATGTGGCTCTATCTAATTCTCTCATACTGTATTAGCTTATTTGGGTTTGGGTTTTTAAATATTTTGGTAATGGAAAAATACCACTTGAGTATACATGAAAATCAGGTTCTAGTTTTCTGCTGCATGTTGCTGTTTGATTTAGCAAGTGAGGAGTTAAAACAGTCTTGTTAGGATATTAAAAAAGTCACATCCCAAGCAGTGGCTAGATAGAATATGACTCAAGGTACATTAGCAATTTTTCAAAGTCTTTGCTCTGTTGCCAAGCACACTGAACTGTTTCAGAACCATCAATTAATTGTGCCCTGCAATTAGGGCTTGCTCTGGACACCACTAATAAGAGTTGGAAAATCCCCAGTGGGTTTGAACTCTCTCTGTATTAATTTTATGTAATCTACACGGATTTTATGTCAACCGTATGGCTCTTCAGCAGAGTTATAAAAAAATCTATTCTTTATTCTATATTTTGTTTACGGTGCAATTGCTTTTATGGCGGCTATGGAAAACTTCCACTGATACGGAATCTGGAAGCACATTTTTGTGCCTCTTTAATCAAAAATCCACAAACAGGACTCTTGTGCCTTTGTTTATGCCAGGAGAATTATGCACTCTCTTCTACCAAAGGGGTGCAAGAGAATAACCACTCCACCAACCATCTTCTGTCTCAGAGAAACAAGGACATGCTTTGTTTCCGGAATCAGCCA